CTGGGGCACACCCCTAACCCTAAAATAGGGATCAAGTTCCACTGAAGATAATGCGATTTTTTAAAAGCCTCCTTTGAGAGGGTTTTTTGGCACAGCTCAACATTTCTGCCCATTCTAAGCGCATTCCAACCATCAGATCCATGCCAGGACACCTCGTTTTCCTAACCCTAACCCTAACCTGGGGCACACCCCTAACCCTAAAATAGGGGTAAAGTTCCATTGAAAATAATGCGATTTTGGCCCTCCTCCATGGCCCGGAAAGCCCAGCCCTGTTCTAGGCTCTGTGCCGACCACCTGGACAGAAAGGTAGCAGCTACTGATCGGCCGGGCCCAGGGCGATGCAAGGCGGAAACCTGCCAGGTACTCTGGAAGTTTCTTCATCACCTGCCACTGCGTTTTGGAAGTGCTTAAGGTGAACGGTGGAGAAACACACACGCACCCTTCGCCTCTGATTTTAATCCCAAATAACTTCCCAGAAATCCACAGCCTGGAAGATGTTAAACAGTGTTGGGCTTCCTTAGATATTCATATAACATAGTTCCATCAATGCGCGCGCGCACACACACACACACACACACACACACACACAGCCCTGAACTGCCGCAGCCACAAAACATCAAGTGATCGACTCGGCTGCAGCGACTGCAAGGTGCCCTCCTAACCAAATCAAACACCCAAACACCCTGGGCTGGCAAAGTGGCCGCGTGGTTTAAAATATTAATCCACAAACACCATCGCTTTGGACCATTTTAACACAAGAGCCATTAATTCCAAGTCGAGCCGGCGGGAGGGGAGGGAGGGGTGGCGTGGGGGGGAAGCCCGGGCCGTGAAATGGCGTTTTGAGACCACTTAAACAGCCATAACCGAATCAATCTTATCTTAAGTATGGATAATTTGCTTTGTGCTATGGCTCTTCTCGCTTGCTTTCCCCGATTTGTGCAGGACTCCGCAGCAATGCTCGCCCCAGCAGTGGGCGATCGGTCCTGGTTAAAAACCAGGAGCCAGCGGGAAACAAGGGCGTTCCTTCCGCCGCTCCCCAAATGGCTCGGAAAGGCCGAAAGGGTCGCAGGGGGGACGGTGGAGGGAGCAGAGGCAGATGTTCTGCACAAGCTGCTCCCGGCTGGCGATCCCCCTGGGCGGAACCTCCCCTCCTGGCTAAGCCCGGCAGGGAGGGAAGCGCTCGCTCGCTCGCCGCCGCCAACTTGGCACGGGCGCCAGCCGCATGCCTTTCCCTCCAGCCCGCTCGGTGCCGCTCGCGCTGCTCCTCCGCTTGCAGGGCTCCGACAGCTGCAGCACGGCCCAGCTCGCTCTCAGCTCGTGTGCCTTGGCCTTGATTAACCCGCCGGCTCCCTGCCTGGCGGCCGCAAGAGTCTCGCTGCGAGCGCCTCGGCAGGCAGGCACTCTGTCCCTCCCAAAGAGGAAGGGGGCATGGCCGGCTGGCCAGGCCCTCAGACCGCCTGCCTCTGGCCCTGCGGTTTTAGCAAACCCCGAGAGAGGCATACGGGCAACCCCCTCTTTGCCCACACGACCCACCAAAGCTCCACTGAATGACAACTCCCACAGTTCTCAGCCAGCACGGGCATTATGGGAGCTGCCTCCGACGCAGCTGGAGGGCGCGAGGTTCGGGAAGGAGGTCTTTCCGGGGACCTCCGCCTAAGGCTCCAGGGAGCGGAATTCGGCATTCGGAGCGGAGGGAAAGCAGGGAGGAGGAGCGTGGCAGCCGCCAGGCTGAAGCCGAGCCCCCCGGCCGAGCCCCAGCCCAGGGCCCCCCAGGCGCCGCGAGCCCCGGTGCACTCACTTGCTCTCCGCCGGCTCCTCTCTGCCATCCGGGCCGCCGTCCGCCCTGGCCAGCTTCGCCTCGTCCATCCAGTCGGAGACCTGCTTCAGGGCACACTCGACGGTGGAGACCATGTTCTGGACGGCCTCGAGTTCCTCGGGAGACGGGTAGATGCTCGCGTGCTTCATCATCACGTGCCGGTCGTCATTTGCAAAGGACCGGATGGATCTCTGTGGCGAGGAAGGACGGAGGGGGGCCGTTTAGGGAAGGGGAGCGGGACGGCCGCACGGGAGGGACGGGGAGGTTCCTGTGTGCGGACGGGCGGAAGGGGCACAAGCCCCTTCCCACGCCTAGTTCAGAAAGCCACTGACGAAGCCACTTCGAGGCAAAACTAAATACCTAAGATTTGGGGAAAGGCGTGTCATCGCGAAACTCCGACGCCGGAGTGCAGGACACGGAATAATGAATTCAAGTTGTGACAACCCAGATCCAGGCTGGGCAGCAGGAGCAGCTTCCTCGCGGTCAGAGCGATTCGGCAGTGGGACCGGCTGCCCGGGGAGGTGGGGGGCTCTCCCCCATTCAAACGGAAACTGGGCAGCCCCCTGGGTGAGATGGTGTGACGTGGTGTCCTGCACCAGCAGGGCTTGGACCCGAGGGCCTTCATGGCCCCTTCCGGCTCTGCCAGTCTCTGATTCTGTGTCTCCCTGCAGGGCTTATTCTCGAATTCACCACCAGAAGGTGTGGCTTGGTGGGGTGTCGAAGGGGCCTCTATGACTTGCCAGAGGAGGGCATTTCTCACCAGCCACGAGTGTGCAACAGACACCCCCTCTTCAGACCGTGCCTCAAAAGGAAGGGGAGCGCCTGCACGCCCCGTGGGGCGCATCCTGGACTCATCTCCCAGCAATGGCTGCAAAACGGGGCCTGGGCCATGTGGGGCTCTGCCCGGGCCTGCAGGGCCGGGAGGGTTCCAACACACACGAGGGCAACGCGGCTCCGCTCCCCCCCCACGGGCCCACCTGGGCTGGTGTGCGGAGGGCGGAGCTCAGCCAGCGCCCCCTTCCCAGGGCTGCCACCCCAGGCAGAGGAGATGCACCCCGTGCCGTGCCGGAGGAGCGGGACCCCAGCCACCGCCGGATGCCGGCAGCCCCCTCGGATCCTCGGTGCAGGCCCCGCTCGCACCCAGCCCTGCCCACGCCGCCTCCGAGCAAGAACATTTGGAGGACTACGGAAATCAATAGGTGCGGGAGACGCTCCTGGCAGCCAGCTGGCAGGCGCTCGTTAACCGCCTGTGTGCCACCGTGCCCCCAGCCTGCGCTCCAGCAAGCAGCTCGCCAGCCACGTGCCTGTGGGCGCTGTGGACCAGCTGCCTCGACACGGTGCCCCCGGATGCGACTCCCACAATCCCCCCGGGGGGGGGGGGGGCTCCCCGGATAGAGAAATATCGCCATGCCAAGAGCACAGTGCCGAGCGGCATCGGCCTTCCGTCGTGCTCTGGAGGGGTGGCGCTCGCCTCAGCCCGTCTCTCAAGGCGCCCCCCTAAAGCCACGTTCGTTAGGAAACGTTCTGCGTGCGCAGCCGGTCTCGGCACTTCGTCGTTCATGCGCCACAGCCTCCGCTCCGAGGTCCCACCCCTGCCCCGAATTAATGCAGCCGCTTTCGCCGGGCCTGAAGTGGGTGCCAGGACACCTTTCGCAAAGCCTCTTCCCCGCCCCCTCGCTGCTGCTTTCGCGACTCTGCTGCTCAGCACAGTGAGGAGGGGGGCTGATCCGCACCCCCTTCCGCTGCAGGCGGGGACCTACCATGGCTGGCTAGGGTGGGTTTCAGCTTCGGTGCCCTTCCCCTTTCTCTTTCTCCCTCCTCCTGGGTGTCTTTGCTAGGCACTGTTTCGTCTGCCAGAACCTCCTCATAAGCGGCTCCGTCTCTTGACGGCTCAGGGGGTCACACAGGTGCGATGCTCCAGCAGTCGGACTCTGCAGCGTACCTGCAAGGCACAGCAGGGGAGAGAGAGAGGCGGAGGTGTGTGGAGAGAAATCGGACACCCTCTGAAGCGCGTGCCCTGCGTGAGACAGGTGTGCAAGGTCAGCCAGGCACCCAAGCTACCGTTTTTCCTGTGAAAAAGCAAAAGGCTTCGCGGCGGAGGTGGGCACCTGGAGGCCCCGGGGCCCAGGCGGGCTGTGTGGAAGGGTCCACAGCGCCCCCTCCCAGCCGCCGGCAGAGAAGTGGGCTTCCAGGAACCTTCCAGAACAGAAACTCACGGTCCCAACTTGATGGATAGCAAACAGATTGAGAATTTTGTTTCACTTCCGTTCAAGAACCAAAAGGTTTTAAATCATTTCATGTTGATTTCACGTGGTGTAAAACTATCCAAAAAGTGTATCTAGTAGCTGACCTGAAATATTTGACGGGGGAGAGGGAATCGATACAAGTGCACTTAGTGTGGTTTAAATGTTAAATGCAAACAAATTCAGATCTTTATTTATTTAGTGAAATACTTCGAGATGTTTTGCAAATACGGCTACTCACGGCACGTACTTCCTTTATTAGATTTTAAGTGGAGAAAGTACTGGAAATGGCCAAGGCACTAATTTTAGTATATTGCTCGTACAAAAGCCTTGTGCTTCCGAAGAAGTCATCCGAGAAAAACCTTACTTTGATTTCTAGATCTGTTCGGCATTATAGCTGCTTGTTGTTCAGTCAGCTCTTTGTGACCCCATGGACAACATTCCCCAGCTTCTCCTGTCCTCTACCGTTCCTTGGAGCCCACCCAAGCCCACACCCTCCGTCCCAGTGACCCCGTCCAGCCACCTCGTCCCCTTCTCCTTTGGCCCTCAGTGGTCCCAGCATCAGGCGCTTCTCCAGGGAGCCCTTCCTCCTCATTAGGTGGCCAAAGAATTTGAGCTTCAGCTTGAGTGCCTGCCCTTCTAAAGAGCCGTCAGGGTTGAATTCCTTATCCATTCTAGCGACCCAATTAATATTGGTTCCAGGGGAAAGTACTCCTTCCCTTCTTAGCATGCTGGTCATACAGGCCTTTCTCAGGCTGGTAGGTTAGAGTTACGCTGCGCAAGCCCGTGGAGGGCAGCGGGGGCCCCACGCCCCATGCTGTTGCTTTCTGGGGATTATTTGGGCGTCCCCGACAGCCGTCCGCCCTGAGCATTTCTCTCACTGTCCCAAATCTTGAGAACAAACAGAAACGGCTGGAATGTGTCTATCAAGCCATCCATTTCTCTGCTGAGAATTTAAAACTTCTGCTTGGCAAAAATGCTGGGTCAGGAGGAGTAACTTGAAAAAGAGTGATGTGCTCTTGGCGCAGAATAATTAAACCCTCGTGTCCCAGAGAGAGCGAGAGCCGGTCGAAGTGCCAGGAGAGGGCCGAGAGGATTCCACCAAGCACATCTTCCAATTAAAGGGGAAAGTGAAAGTTAGATTTACACCAAACGAGCGGATTTGGCAGACAAGCAGGAGTTCGTTGCCATCTGCAGACACAACACTGCAACCAAAAGTAAGCACTTCGGGGAGACAGCGTGAGAATCACACGTGGGCAAAGAAGCAGAGGTGACGAACTTGCGCCGAGAAAGCAGTCGTCTGCGGAAGCTGGGAAATATGGTCGCCACTTGGAGATTTTCAGGCGAGGAGGATTCAGATTGGGCTCCACTTTCCCCAAGATCGTCCAGGAGGTCCTTCGGCACCCGAATCGCCTCCGCATGTCCAGCTTGAATTTGGCCCGGAGCTGAGCGGGGTGAAGGGCGACTTTGAGGAGGCGGCCTGGGGCGAGAGCAGCTGGGCTACACAAATGGGTTGGACAGCTGACTGGGGTTGCTGGGAACTGCATCCCAACAGGTCCCCAGAGCGCAAGGCTGGCGAAGGCTGGTGTGGGACCTGGGACGGGACGGAAGGCTGATCCCACCCGGCCTTCAGCACCACCCCAGACCAGTTGCAAGCTGGCCAGAGTTGCTGCTCTTGAGGAGGACCCTGCAGCGTCTTACCTCGCAGGGTCCTTTGGCCTCAGAATCGTCACTGGAGGCAGATTTCCTGGGCTTGGACAGGGCTGGGCACTACCCACCCCACCCACAGGGGCCCCTTTGCCAGCGCATGACCCCTAAGCAGCAGGTCGGGAGGGGGCAGGAGGGCAGAGGAGCAGGCCCGTTCCAGCCGCCCTTCTGCAAGACGAGTTTCCTCTCCCCTCCAGTTCCCGTTTCCTTGCATGCAGTGCCTTTCTGGATTATAACCCTGTGACAGGGAAGGGCTGTCTTGCTTTACTGATGACATGAAAGCTGCTCCGGGCGTCTTTTTGCTGAGCAGTGAGATAAAAATGCTATAAATAAACGATGTAACCATATACCCGCGTTTCTATGCCCAAGCTCTGTGCGGAACGAGGCGCATCCCAGCCTGAGCTCAGCTGTCCCCAACCTGGTGACTTCCAGATGTGCTCCACTGTCGCCCCATCACATGAAAACCCTGGAATCTGTGGGGATCCAAAATTAGCCCGGGGGGTCCTTTGAAACATTTTATTCACTAACACAAGCAGAGTCAAATGGACACGCACGAGAGAAGCTGCAGCTCCGAGTTTTCTGAAAATCTCACAGCTCGGCACTGGAGTTCCGCCGATCTTGTTGCATCACACTACAACAGAAAAAGTGCCCGAGACACCAAAGGCTTTCATAAGCATGCCAGCATAATTATAGTGCAACGAAACGAACAGGAAACGCACGGACCAGCCAATCGGCAATCCTGGGCAGTGAACCGATCGAGTGGCCGATTGCGTCAGAGCAAGATCTCCCGCGTTCTCCACTAAAGGTCCGGCCCAGCTCGCTTTTGCTTAAAGGAGGAACTCAAAACAGCCACGCCGATTCCTGTCGCCTGTGCTCTCCTAGCAGCTGTGGCATTGAGCCCCGCGTCTTCCTCGGCCCAGTCCCTGCCCTGGCTTCCCCCTGCACAGCCTTACACGCTCCCAGACACAACACACACAGGCCTCAAAGAGCGCCAGTCCTGAGCTCGCCCTCTGCCGTTCCTCGGTGGCCACATGCCAAAGGCAGCCTTCGCTAAGCCCGCGGGCTGAGCCGGTTCCGAATGTCCTGCCAAAGCCCACCGAGGGGAGAGACACCGATGCAGTCTGCAGGATTGAAACGTACCTGCATCAAGGATGCCGGTGAACAATCCCTTGCGGTCCCTTCGGGAAACCCAGAAGCGCTTCAAAACGCTGCTCGGCTTTGTGAGTACCGGACCTTTGCTACACGGAGAGAAGTGTGTTCGGCAACTGAGAGCTAATGCTGAAGAGGCGACGGCAACGCAGCCTCCGTGCCTCGCTGCGTTGCCGCTGCAGACAAGTTTGACGGGTATCGTTAGCAGAGCTCGTTTGACCGGCCTTTCCTCCCAACAGAAAGACGCAAACAAAGTTAGGGCAGGGACTGTGCTCCACCAAGCTGAAGAAACCGTCTTCAGGTTAGAGGGAGCTGAAGAATCGTGCAATTTCTCCACAAGTGCTTCTCTGCAGCAGGAAAGCTGCACTCGGCCTCTCTAGCTGGAAACATCTAACAGAAGCCATTCCACAGGATCGCTTTCAGGGCTGCTTTCAGCTGCCGCCTCGGGAAGTTAAGCGCCGGGGCACACGCAAAGCTGGGAACAAGAAGTTCAGCGCGCTAACGCACAGCGAGGGGCTCGCTCGGGAGGCACACGGTGTCAAGCCTGTGCTAAGCGCCTGGAGGTAACCCACCTTACGCCGCCAGTGATGAGCATCTATACGAAAGGCTGTGCAGCGTCTACAAAGCCAGGAGATCAACCGGAGCGCTTTGCTTAGTATTGCAAATATATCCCCCTTTCTTTCCTCTTGCAAGAAACCCGTGCCAACACACGACCTCTCGATTCGCTTCCTCGCCGGTTTCACTGAACCCCGGGAGGAAGGTTGGGCTGCGATGCTGTGACCGGCCCCGTGCCCGCTGAGCTGCAGGGCCAGGACCAGGACATCACCAGGACTGTGATGCGGAGCCTGCTGCCTGCAAACGAGGCTAGGCACCCGCAAAAAGAGCGGGGGAAATGGGGCCCAGCAATCCTGGCTTTTTCAGGCACGCTGGAATGACCAACAAAAACCTGCTTTTAATTGGGTGCTTGTTTTCATTCTTGTGCCCCAAACCCTGAAAAACAGGTGTCTTTCCAGTCTCGTTTCACAGGTAGCTTCCCTCGCCACTGAGGCACAGTTGGAAATCAGAAAGCGCGTCGTGTTCTTTCTGCAGTAAAATTTTAATTCCTGGCCCCCGTCCAAAGTTCTCTCCTGCGGCATCCATCACAGCCAGGCACTGGGATTCTGGGTCAAAGGCGCACAGCAGCTGCCCCGCGAGCAGAGCGGAGCTCTTCCGTGGCAGCACCCGGCAGAGGCCGGGACAAGGTCCGCCAGAGGGACGGAAGGAGAGGCACTTGCCAGAGAAACGCTTCAGAAGGACAAACAAACTTCAGGCAAAAAGACACTGACCCCGAGATCAAATCGGGCCGTTACGGCGGAGGTGAGCTGAAGTGGGGCGCCCGAGTTCCTTAGGCGATCCCACCCTCTTTCCCCAGCCACCGAGGCTCCCCAGAGGCTGAGGGTCCCCCCTTTTAAAACACCAAACCTGCCCTCACCCGAGCCTTCCCACTGCGACACATCTGCTCAGCTGCTCCAGAGCAAACATAAACATGGGCTGGTGCAGACACCAGCACCTTCACCGAGGCCTCGCTTTTTTGGCAAAAAGACGCTTTTCCAAGCACACCCCTTCCAGGGTCCCTCCGAGCTGGTCTCCCCTCCCTGCAAACTCCAAAGAGCCTCAACTCCTCATGGCGCGTTTCTGCAACCAGCACGTTCCCGTGCGCTCTGCCCTGGGCAGCCCCCGGGCTCTGCTGCACCGACATTTTCAAGGGTATCAGAGGAGATCTGTCGGAGGAAGGACCAAAGGTGCCGGCTGCGCGTGCCACTGCCCTTGCACATTAAAAGGAGACCTCGGTGCAGGGGACTCGGGAGGGCGATTGGGGGCTCCTCCGCTGCACGCAGATGCAGGGCAGACTCTTAAAGGGTTAGGGCCGCTGCTTCCAAGCAGGCTCCCGCGCCGGCCACTTTCTCCAGCCCTGAAACACGCACAGCTGGTGCCCACACTCCTCAGGCAGACCGAGAGTGGGCACAATCAGATGTGTTCGAATTCACACTCATGAGGACTGGAACCTTGCTTTCTTTGCAGGGGAGGGCCAATGGGTCCTTGCATGCAGACTGTCCCGGCACCTGCAGGGAGGGCTCAAAACGACGCCTGCTGGGAACCCTGGAGAGGGACTCCTTCCGCTGGGGCTCCAGCCCAAGGCAGCTGCCTACGTCCACACGTCAGGAGCCACCACGGAGGAGGAGGTGGCCAGGGACGGATCTCCTGTGCTGCCTGCACAACCCAGTGGGGACCCTCAGTCCGAGGCGCCAGGGAGCAGAGCCCCAAGCAGCCACTGCCACCCCTGGGTTCGCGCTGCCGGCCGAACTGTGATCACTCCATTTCCCCTCGACAGAATCCAAGCGGTTTCCACACATCCAACAGACCAAGCTCTCTGTGCTGTTCACAACCCAACCTGAACACAACCAAGGCAACGGGATGGGAGGATCCCAACAGGGCGATCGATTTATCCTTTAAAAGGGGGGCACAGCATCTGGAGCCTACGCTATTACCTGGGGCTAGTCAAATTCCCTCCCACGTTCCTGGACACAGCTCATGAGCAAACCGGGAAAGAGCAGGAGAGCTAAGAAAGTGGAACAGCGAAAGGCTCGCCAGGTGCTCTGGCGCACAGCAGTATTTATCCAAGGACAGGGTGGTGGAGAACGGTTTTAAAGTTGCTTACAGATGGATAATTTGGTGGACTAAATTGGTGTCTCGAACACCCACACACCCACCCGACGAAGCGCAATGCCGGCTTCCACCGGTCCGCACAACGAACGGAAGCCTTGCAGAAATCTTTCCACCCTGCCCAGTTTCTGACTCGGCATAAAAACCATGCCTGGATTCTGACTCAGCAAAAGACCTGCGTCTGCGTATCTATGGGATGGGCTGACATATCAACGTTTATATATAAATAACCCCCACACTGGGCACCACAGTCTGCAGAGAAACCGAAGTGGCTGGAGAAAAGTTTTGATTCAGAAGGAATGCAAGCCATGATTTTTCATCCCAGTCAAAAAGCTCTGGAGACAACCACCTGCTTACCAAGCTGAAAAATGGGATAAGGAGAGGAAACGCATGTACATGATGCACGGCTAAATCCCTTAAATGCACTTGGTCTGTGTCCAGCTGCTATGCTGAAATATTTAGCAAATCGCATGCAATAATATAAATCAAATAAGTCGACTTGTTCGAAGCATTGCAGCACTGAAGGCTCTCAAGGCGTCCTCCTCCCAGAAGGATGCGGGTTCATCCGCAGGGGGGGAAGCGGTGCCCCGTTGTGAGTGCAATCGCCGTTCCTTTTACTAACGGTGCTGCTGAGCTCCTGGCCTCCCCTCGTGCGCACGTCTCCTTTTAAAAATGCATAAAATCACCAAGGCAGCAACTGACAAGCTAGTAGTGCATTTAAGTGAAGCCTCATTAATCTTTAAACCGGCAGAGAGAGACAAGGAAGGGCCACGGTGCCAGTGCGGATTTGTGATAGGAACAGCGGTAAAAGCAGAGGGGGCGGGGAAGGGCGCCGACTCCATCAAAATACTGAAAACAGGGAGCTTCTCAGGAGGTAATTCTGGAGGTAAACAGCAAGCCCTGCTGCATTTTGCCGGATGAGGCGGACAAGTAAGGTTTGGAAGCAGCGTCGGTGTTAAAACTTTCCGGATTCTAATGCTTTCGCCACGTTCAAACAAGCTTCCTTAACAGAAAAGCAGAGGTGTGAGATTCTATTTGCATTTCTAAATTGTGCAGACAAGATCTTTTTTTTTTCTGGCAGTGTGATCGTTTTATAAATAGCACCCAGGCTGTTAGCATGCTTCAGAAACCTGCTCTTCATAGCTGAGCTTCTTTCTGCTCTTCCCAACTTCTCCTCCCCGGTATTCGTGGCCTGGGCACGGCCCCCCGTCGGGAAAGGACCGGAAGTGCAAGCAGAGGTGGGAGACCCTCGCGCCGGATACGCGAGCCGAGAGCGGCCGTTGGCCCGATCTGTGGTAGTGCGCAAAGAAGAGCTTCTCTCCTCTGGAGGGCTCAGAAATGTCCATTCTCAGGCTCCCATCCGGATCGGGGCTTTCCGTGGGCTTGGGAGGACAGTGTGCCTGGGTGTAGCCCTCCGGAGGCGTCTGCACCGGCTATGAACAGCGCCTTTGCTCCATGCTGGCTGGCCGGCGTCTGCAGGGATGCAGATCTGGGCTCAACATTCGGAGAAATTTCCTAACAGAGAAAGCCGCCCAGTGGAGGGGGGACATGGGAGGAAGCGGCCTCTCGTCGCTGGATGCACCCCCAGACAGCCGGGATGCAACTGAGAGCGGAGGGCCCAGGGACTCTCCGAGGCCCTTTCCAACGGTGCCTCTGCGTAAGCATGCACCAGCCCTGCTCCCAAGCCTCGAGGATGAAATGTGCACCAAGAGACCCCGCATGTCCGCGGAAGCCGCCTGCGCATCATGTTTCAGCAACGGCTCTTCTTGCATTTCTGCTGCTGCCTCGACGCGCCCAGCTCCAGATCGCTCTGACGCCGAGAGCCAAGCCCGTGGCTGGCCAGCGCCGGGTCCGCGCCCGTCGGGGTGGGTGCTGGGGGCAGGGGAGCCCAGCCAGGTTTCCCCACCTTCGCTGTCTGTCCACGGGCGTGTGCGGGACGAGGCCAAGGCCACACGGGTGGTGGCAGAGCGAGGAGAGAGCCTGGAGAGGCTGCTGCTGCAGGCCACCCAGCAGCACACGATCCCAGGAAGCCTCAGCAGCCGTTGTCGAGCAAAGATGGCGTTCTCAAGAATCCCACCTTTTCAGAAAGGGCGGCAGCATGACCAGAAGCTTGGCCTTGAGCCCCCCCCCCCAATTAAAGGTGAAAGGCCATGTTAAGAAAATAGCAACCCAGGCGTCTCGCTCACCCGTTCTCTTACACATGGCACCCAGGAGAGCCCTAGCCCAGACTCCATCGCATTCACTTCTGTGCAGAGGGATGCCGGGCTGCCGGGCATCCCATGGGGCTGCGCCTGTTCTCATCCTCCTGCAGAAATTTCTTGCAGCATTTTCAAGACTGGGGTAAGCCCAGAATACAAGGCGATCTGCTAAACCCTGCACTGCAGAGCTGAACATACTGGCAAACTGCAGGACGCTCGCACATCCCGGAATAATTCCTTAGGGACCGATGCTGGAAAAAATAAAGTTGGTGGGGGAAAGGGGCAAAGGAAGCAGAAAGCAAAAGGAGGAACGAGGAGAAGGAAAAGGAGAGAGAAAATGTCACTATGCCCAATATTCTCTTTTCAGATGCAAGTGACGAGGCTTGTGCTGAAATGGAGATGCTGCATGCGGCTTTTTTAATTTGCAAAACATAGCATTTAATGCATAATTAAACTGAAAAGAATCAAATGTTTTACATCCCTAGGGTACAAAAAAGGAAAGGGGGAATTCGGATTCTGATCCTTGTGGTCTTTGTAGCTACTGGCAGAAAATATAAGGAATTAGAACATCTTTTGATGGTAAAGAGTGTGTATTTTTTTCCTCTGGACAGAGTCCCTTCACACATGATGCTGCAAATCATATGCCTAAATTATTTAGCCATACACCCAAAAGTATAATATGCGGACACAACCTAGGACCTTCCTGGTGGCGGCAAACCAGGGTTACCCAGTGCGGTGCGTGAAACAGCTCCAAGCAGTTCCTAAAACACTGGCTGGAAGTTTTAAAAAAACCCCTACGGTCCCTGTTCAAGGTTTTCCCTATTCGTCACAAGGGCAATTCAAGAGATTCCAGGAAGGAGGCAGGTGGATGCTCAAGACTGCAGAAAAAGCAAGTCTCCAGGAACAGACCCGGGATCCGTTCGGAGCGCTGGGTCTCTAGCACACCTGGAGTACCAGCAGCCACTCTTGGAAACACTGCGACAACCATGAATTATGCGCCTGCATTTTTAACCCTGCAAAAGAACGCATTCCCCAAGAAACTCATTTTCCAGAGGAAGGGAGCTGCCCGCAACTATCCCCCCACGATTCCTAACAAATTCACAGTGATGAGCACCAAAACCTTCAAGATCAAACTAGTGGGAGTTCTTGTCAGCTGTGACCTGCCAGAAAGAAGATGTGTCAATTCCGGAAAAAGGGGGAGGGTGGGTCTTTTGGGGGAGTGCTCTCAGGCACCCTGTCGCTCAGCCCCCGGGGGGAAGAAGTGGGACCTCCCAGACTTCCAGCCAGCCTCTCTGCAGCACTTTTCCATCCTTGCTGTGAGCTCTGCCTTTCCTCTTCTCCCTCCGGCAATCAGGCACATCAACAACCCCAGAGCATGCTCAGTCAACACCAGGATAGTTAAGATTTGCGGGGCGGGGGGGGGATGTGGCTTTCCCGAATTGGCTGCCCTCCAGAAGTGCTGGAATACAACTCCCATCAGCCTCCAGCCAGAGAAGGCTGCCCGAAAGCATTCCTGCGGAGCTCAGAGTCCCCCAAAACCTGCCACTGCCTGCCCTTTGTGCATGGATGGAATCGGGTTTGCTCCATGAAGGGCAGGTGCTCAGAGAGCTGCATTTGCTAGGAGTTCTCTCTTTCTCAACACGAGAGTGTTTTGACCCGTATGGCAGCGTTGCAGAGTGGTTACAGCCGCTCCTGCAACCCAGCACAGAGCCCAGGTTGCTTCGGCTTACATGCCCCAGTGCGGCTGACCATTAACCACGCGAGCTGGGGCTGATGGAAGTTCAAACCAACAGGAAGGCAACAGGCTGGAGAAGGCCGGGAGAGAGTCGTGGACGAGGGGGGTGGCTCAAATGACCTTGGAGGTCCTGGAGTGACTTTGGGCCACTCTTTCCCTCAGCGCCAAACACCCTTCAGACCCACCCACTGCGCGGCTCCGAACGTCCTCTTCTGCAAAGACGCGAAGGTTTTTGCAATAAGTCTGATCAAACCATCGCCAAGCTTGCTTCAAATATTAAGGTCATCAGTGAGAAGGGAGGGATACTTGGTATGCCTTCCGCAATTCTATTTTAGGCAGATGAGGGCTGGGGATTCACACTTTGAGAAACAAAACATACTTTAAAAAGCCAGCTCAGAACAAGCCAAAGCCCAGGCTGGAAGCAATTACCATTCCAGCCGAGCGCGAGAGAAGCTGCATCTGCAGCCAAGGAAGTGGAGAAAAATATTTCAACGCTGATGAGGAATAAATTGAATGAGACGTTCCCGAGAATGACAGAGGACACATGGACAGAGAAAGGTGTGGGAACTATTCCTCCATCTGCTGATAGGGGGGAAAATGCGAGATTGACACGTTTGACTAAATCGATAAAGTCCGGGGCCAACCCAAAACCCACTGAAACCCTCTCCGCTTCACATGATCCTCTCTCCAGAACACAACTCCTGACTTTGGATGCCCAAGGACTTCCCCCAAATCATTTCCACCCAAGCCTATCCAAACAAAGCCCGTGCTCTTTTGCTTACGCACTCGGTTTTCAGGGAAGTATTTTACTAACAAACCTACATATCGTGCAGAACCGAGCACCCCGACGCTGAAGGGTTTTCCATTTCCACTGGCCTGGCTCCTACTTGACCTCTTACGCCATCCCCTTCCCGAGATCGGTCTCGTAAGCCTCGAAAGGCCCACCCAGCTCCAGGGTTGGCCTTCTTGAACAACTGCTCAGGCTGGGTTTTGTGCCAAGAGCATTTCCCCTGCTTTGAAGCTCCCGAAAGTGGGCAGGCCTCCATCTTGAAGGAACGACTCGGCCCACAAATGTGCTTCAAAGCTCACACGCCTTTCTCACGCCCACAATCCTTTCGACATTCACGGGCCTTTCCACTGGTTTGCTCCCACTAGAGGAGTCCAATGTGTGTGCGCGTTCGTTTCAATTAGAGTCATAAACTCCTGCCTCTCTCCTGCACATCACCTGGAGAGAGGGGTCCCCAGCATGTTAGGATCAAGGACAGGCCTGGAATCTGTCGCGGGCACTGTCACAAAATGGTTGCCACAGGGTGGGGCTTGCCCACACATAACATGGCTGGCGGGGTGGGCACCTCCAGTTACACAACACGCATTTCCCAGATGGCAAAGCAGTGTGACTCAGAGAAAAACAGCTTGGCCAGGAATCTGATACGAAGCAAGGGAAGAGTCCAAACTCCAGAACACAAAGCCGCTCTTCTGAAGGCAAATAAAGATGATGCTGTGGGAAATCGCTTTGCCCACCAGTGCCCTGTTCAAACATAATAACCCTAAAAAAACCTTAAGCAATAAAAATAAAGATCAGGAGGGGGAAACTTTGTGACGACTGCCTTGGACTTCGCAGCCTGCATACACCCAGCTTTTTGCACCCAGAGCTAAATGCTCCTGGCTGAGCAGTTGAATGCAAGGAAAACTGAGGGCTCTACCAAATATGGAGGCCACTTCAACCCAGTGCCTCTCCCCAGAGCAGAAAAACTCGCGCGGTCTTCCAGTAGGAATCCACCCGGCAGCCCCACACGCACCCCTCCGATGCATTCTGAGAGAAAAGGACGGGGAATAAAATTCCTCGAGGAGCAGCCAGCTGCTCTTTTGGCCCAGTGGGTTCTAAATGAGAGATCACAGGACAAATCATACACAAACAACCTTCCTCGATATACCCATGTTCTATTTTAACGTCGCCTGCTCCCAACGATAGCTCTGAAATGGGTTGCCAAACTTTGCATTTCTGTTTGTTTAATTTCTAGGGTGACCTCCGTGCATCCGCCTCAGCTCTCATCAGATCAGCTCCAGAAAATAAACCAAGCCATCCCTACCACCACCCACAAAGACACATAAATAGCCTGCTTTGTTTTCTGAAGTCCACCCAATTTCAAAAGCCTCATGTGCGCACCCACAAACCTACTGCCCCGAGCTGCTCAAATGCCTGGCAATGCACAACACACAAACCGTGTCACCAGCTCACGATTGCCTTCCCCAAACTCTTCTCTTTCAGCTTTGGACTACAACCCCACCCTGGCCGCCATCTCTTGGAGGAATAAATCAAATACTTCAACTCCCAGGATTCCTGCCCATTCGCCATGCTGGCTCAAGTCCAAACCATCTGCAGGGCACGATCGATACGTCCCTGCGATGCTCTCCGATTCGAGATCCAGGCCCTGAACTTCGGTCCAAGTCCAATCCTACCAAGACGGGCTGGCACCTCGAATTCCCACGCCCTAGCAAGAGTGAAGAAGGAAGCTCTCTAGAGGATCCGCAGTAAATCAGCAAGGATGTCTCACTCCCGATCGCTGTACAATAGCGAAAACAAGGTTCCATTTGGATGCCAGGAAGCACTTCCTGACAGTCAGGACCCCCAGGGTGTGGAATGGGCTTCCACAGGGGGCGGCTGAGGTCCCACCGGTGAGGGTGTTCAAGGATAGGCTGGACGTGCACATGGTGGGCATGTCGTGAGTGGAGCCGGCTGGAGCCAGGGGTCAGACGAGATGGCCGGGAGGCCCCTTCTGACTGGCTCTATGTTTCTATCTTTTTCCTCGCCCCCAAAGTAGACTGCTGAAATCAATAAAAGTTGGGGGAAGACAGAACTCATTCTGGGTGAGGAATGATCAGTGTGAGAGCTCCTGACTGGGCACCAGGAACTAATCCTCGGACCAAGCCTGGTCCAAGAATTAGTTACATGCTTGCTCCACAATTCTTCCTGAGCCACTGTTTTGCTGGGCTCAGTCGGTGGACCTCGGGGTTTTGAGAAAAATCAAAGATCCCAGAAACTTAAAGCTTGCTCAACTCTAGTTTGCAGGTGCATCATAACCATGCCAGTTAGGATAAGCAATTTCACAGAAAAAAATGCTTAAAAATCTCAAGAGCAGAACAAAAGCAGGTTATAAATCTAATAAATAATAGTTTATAATTTTAAAAAAACTGTAAGAGTGGCAA